CAATTATGGGTGTGTTTTTTATGCATATTTTCAAAAGTTATGTGCATCATGAGGTTTCCATCAATCCACATATGCACTTATCCAAAATGAGCATTAAAATAGGTGGGTGGAAACGTAAGCCTAAGGCAAGAAATACCGCTTCGTCTTTAAAAAAGGGGAGGAGACCGACAGAAACTCTGAGTTTAGAGAATAAAACCTGCTGCTGACCAGGTTAGGTTCACAGAGTAAGTTACCACAGTAACTGACTCTAAGTTAAAGTTACCTCTCTTTTAGAAACAGGCTTGACTTACCCTGCTTTCTCGAGTTTAACAAACCTGCCATTTTGAAGCGCAAAGCCCAGAGTTTCTCTCATTTCAGGGTTAAAATACTCTGAGTTTTCACTTAACCTCCTTTCTGAAACAGGCCCCAGGGGTGTCAAACTGCAAGCCCACAGGCCATTTACGGCCCGCCCTCTCCTTCCTTACAACTGACATCAAAAATATAATGAGATACGGCCTGCCAAAATATAAAATTTATAAAAAATATAAAATTCATGCGCTGTTTGATCATTATCAGTTTTATACCACTTGTATTTTGTTGTTCAAACACTTCTTCATGGCTTACATGTTATGCTGGTGGTGTAACAAATATGATAATTTGCTAATATTTGATTTAAATGGTCTCATTGAAAAGATTTTCCTCATATGCTTATTAAGATTTGCATAAAAACTATGTATCTTAGTAAGATTGTACTGCTAGTTCAATTGAACTTGATAAAGTAGATGTGAATACAGTATGTGCTTACTTTTCCCCCACTTTGTTATAGTTTTGCAGAAAAAAAAATATTGAGAAGAACAATTACCAGTAAAGTCACTTAAGTTACCCAAACTGCTTTCTGCTATTCTTAAGGCTGATTTATACTTCTGCGTCAAACGCTGGCGTATGCTACGGCGCTGACGCATAGCGCTCCGCCGTGGCCGTCGGCGTCGCTGACGTGCACCTCTCAAAAAATGTAACTGCACGTCGCAACAACGCGTAGCGCAAGCTCTGTGATTGGTCGGCTTGGTAGCGCTGACGAGTCTGGGCGGGACAGAGAGCCGCGTGAATGGTGCGAGCCTGATGGAGCGATTGTTTACAAGTGTGGAGTCCCGTGAAGGAGCTCCGGATGGAAAATTTCGTTTTGTGTTTACCACAGTTGTTGCACATCCGTTGGTTCCTGCCTCAAAATGAGCGAGTTGTACATCCCGGAAGTGTTCAGGAAAACAAACCAGCAGTGAAGAAACTCGACACAGAGGAACATTTACACCTCACTGCCAACTAGCGTTTCGGAATTGTTAATGCAAACCAACAGAGACAGCGCGCAGAAGTATAAATGCACAGCTATGCGTGTTGCATGCGCCATGGGTTACAACGGTCACTTGACGCAGAAGTATAAACCAGGCTTTAGGCGATTGGGACAATACAACTGGTTGGGACAGAATAATTATTATGTCTATATTTGTAATATTTCATAGCAATTTAAACTACCCCTTCAATATGTACAAAAAAAGAAACAAAAAGCTAGAGTTTTGACTGCATGTACTTTGTAAAAGAATGACTGAGTGTATGTCTAATGCTCGTCCATACACACAACAACCACAGATATATTTTAACAGCTAATGTGTGACACGATGCTGATTTGCATTATCTCAGGTGGCAGGTAATGCTTGAAATATAAGCGTCATGTCTGTTATCCTAATATGCATTAACTATTTCTGGTTTTTACTTTTATGTTGTGCTTGAATTTTAGAATGGCTTTCCTATGAATTGTCAGTCACTGAAATGGTCCCCCGCCAATTTTAGTTTGAAACCCCTGGTTTAGACCTTAATGAAACACATTAGGTTGGATTCCATGTCATGTACAAGTAATTAAATAAATCAATAAAATCCCCAGGAGGTTTGTACAGCCCACTTGAAACTTAAATCCCTCCCAGTTAGAGCTGAGCAACCCATTTAGAGCTTGCACTGACTTCTATTTTTAAACTTCTTGAGTAATTGGTGGTTTATTCCGCCGTGGCAACTACTGATAAAAGCAAGGAATACGCAGAAAGAAAGTGAGTGGAAGTGCTATGAATCAACCTTTGAAGAGGAAACGTGTCTATTTTGTTCCAACACACTGTTTTTTGGACACTGACCAAAAAAAAAAAAAGCTTGGGAATTGCAGAAATTGGTTGAAAATTGGCATACAGAGTTTCCAGAACTACAATCCAATGGCACCAAGATCACCACAAATTGCTTGAAAGGGTTTCAGGTAAAAAGCCTACACTCTCATTCAAAAACACATTTAATCATGTTTTTTGGAGTGTATTTTAAGCAAAAATATTTGATTAACAATACAAACTTTTTCCTCCCACAGCCTCTACTGCTCAAATTTACCAAGAAATATTAGTAGAGAACAATCTGTAATGACTGTTAATTAAATAAAAGGAAGCTGCTGTGATATTTTCTAAAATGAAGCTCCACAGTGTGCACGCTGGATTTCACTTCTTTTTTTTTCATATGCCTTAAAGGCAAGTGGAACAATCCGACCAGATCTGGAAAAAATTCACAACATTATTTGACTCAAAGCCAAGGAGGAGACCTATTACATCGTTTGTATCACGTCCTTTGTTCTATCAAAGATTCACGGCGCTACTGTGCTGTCCAGCAGAGAGTTTGTTTAATGGTTTCACACTCCAGAGCTTCTGGTAAGATCTGTTTCTCTGTGACTGTGTGGGGCTTCTCGCAATATTCGTACTGTACCACTCTAAGTACAAATTGATTTTAGGAATTAAGTGGATTTTCACTGTAAAGTTTTAACTTTTTTTGAAAATACTTGGTGGATTTACACTGACAACTGCTGTGATTCGTCAGAATATCTGGTCATTTTTAAGGTTTTGTTCATGATAGGGATAGACATTTTCTCCTCAGTGCTAAATTCACACTTTTTCAGTTTTCCTTAAGGTGATAGTTCACTCAAAAATGAAAATAACCTATTCATATATTCGTCCTCATGTGGTTTTAAACTTTTTTTTTTTTTTGATAACCAAAAAAGAGAGTGGCACTGTGGCTCAGTGGGTGGCATCAGCTGCATAAAACATATGCCAGAATAGTTGGCGGTTTATTCTGCTATGGCGACCCCTGGTAAATAAGGGACTAAGTTAAAATAAAATGAATAAACTAGTAAATAAATGAACAAAAAACTTATTTTGAAGTATAATTGTTGTCCTGATAACTTCCGAAATAGCATTCTATGCATGTCAATGGGCCCCAGCAACCGGCATTTTTCAAAATATCTACATTTGTGTACACTAAAAGCAAGTTTGGTTTGATTACAGTTATCATGTCATCGATTCGGATCAATTTTATATACGATATCATGGTGCATCAAGGTGCATTGACGATGCTATCCATACATAGTTAGTATGGATAACTATGTATGGATAATTTATATACATTTATATACCTGCTCAAAAAAAACAAAAACAAAAAAACTTTTTTTTTTAATGTATCGCTTTAACAGCCAAGAGGAAAGGAAAAGTTACCTCACAAACACGTCAGCTGGTCAAATATATATATAAATACTTACTGGCCACTTTATTTGGTACACCTGTCCAACTGCTCGTTAATGCAATCACATGGCGGCAACAGTAAAGCTGCGATCACACTAGAGTTTGTGTGTGTGAAATTCTGTCATGCGGCACTGCGAAAAGGGGCAGGAATAAACAGGATTATTAGGCATTAAAAAAGCGAGCGATTGCTCAATGTTTTAAATTTCTGTCCAAAGAGGTCATGTTTTGATCCTCGGTTGGTCTCACGCAGTCAAGTGATGCGTTTCGCAGGTCAGAGTTCACAAAGCTTGAACTTGGCAATGCAGCAACCTACGAAACTTAATGCATGACCCTGCATTTCCGGTCTGACGCATTTGCATGCGTATGAATGGAAGTCTATGGAAGGAAAAGCCCAGTGTGACTGCAGCTTAACTCAAATAAGCACTCGTTACAACCGAGGTGTGCAGAAGAGCATCTCTGAATGCATAACATGTCTAATCTTGAGGAGAATGGGCTACAGCAGCAGAAGACCACTCGACATGTACTATTAACACGTTTTGTTAATGCTGTCTGTCAATAGAGAGAAATATCAAACACTGTGAAAATGCTGGGTTCCACACAACCAACATGAAGGAATTAAGTTACCTTATTAGTTTTTTACAAATTTAAGTAGATTAAACATAAAACAATTAAGTTGTTCCAACAAATGCTCAAAAATGCTGTTGTTTCAGCTCATTTTAAGTAGTTTGAACAAACAACAAAAGTATATATTTTTTTTATTTTAAAATGGTTTTAAAAGGTTTAAAATGATCGTAATTTTTAGTTTTAAGATGAATGAACTCATGAATTTGTAACAACACATTTTGGTGAACTATTCCTGCAATGCCAAAAATGATACCAAACAACCAGCAATCTCACATGAAAACATAATCACTTCATGGATTGTCAGAAAAGTGGCTAATTTATACTAATTAATATGTTTTCACTCATATGAAAATAGAACATTTTTAAAGTGGAGGAGTGCCCCAAACCCCACCCCTAAACCCAACCGTCTTTTGGAGGATAAAAAAACATACATACATACATGTAAAAAGTTACGAACTGCTTTGAGATTGCATTGACTACTTAACTAAAGACCATGACCCAATAAAACCTGAACTAAAATTCAGAAAAAGGATGAATCTTCCCAAGACCACCAGTCAGTGTTCAATACACGCACTACAATATACTTTCAAATATCAGTCCACAGAACACCTGATGTGCATTCACAGACCCTCAGGTGAAACCCCTGGCCATACCAGATACAAAACCCTACAAACAGACGTTAAGGTCTGCAAAACATTGTGAGTGACAGGTGCTCAAATTCTGTGGAAATCTGCTGAGTTTTCCCTGTGCATGCAGATTGAACGTGAGCCTGCCGATATTCTCAAAATTCAACATAAAGATTTTTACCTCTGGGTGTTGGGGTTTACGGGGATCCTCCAGCCCTTGATCTGACTAAGTTCGGTATCTGAAACTTCGATGTGCAGGGGCAGTTTAGGAATCCAGACTTTCACCTCGAGCTGGGCCCTCAGGTAACCATACGTGAAATTCACCAGCATTCTGACCCGTCCCCTCATCTCTTTACCGTTCACATAGACGTAATCACACCTGTCTGACACCTAAGAGAAGAAATAAAGAGCATGTCAGTGGTGGAGAGGCAGGAAAAGAACAGTACATTGATCTTTTCGAGACACCTTCGTAAACTTCAGATTACCAAAATCAATACAGTGCATCCGAGGAAAACACACTAGGTATATTTGAAATGGACTGACAGTGAAATCTTTCTAGCTCATATTGAGGAAATGTTTTATTTCGAAAAGCGAGCCTTGACTCTCTGTAGAAAGTTCTGGTTTAAGCATCGCCTTGAGTTTATGGTTTAAAACAAAGAGTTGGCGGAAATATTCACCCACACAGACTTGGGTCACAATTAAATATCCCACATCTTTAGATTTCAGCGTTGCTTTTTTATCTTGGCTTCTACAATCTCTCAGTCTTTCTCATCTCTTTCAGTTGTTCTACTGGTTACCTTTGAATGAAAAGATAAAAGCGCTACTGGCTCTCTCACATTTAACAGCACTACAGATGTTCAAGATGAAAACAGCACCCTGTTATCTAAGACGGAAGACTGAAAGTATAACTACTTATGTGTGTGTGGGTTTTCTTGATCATTTCTGACAAAAATCTTCTTTGGAAATGTCTTTAGTTAAACATACATTATTAATAAATCAAATAAATAGGAGACATTATAATGTTTAATCATACATTATAAGTGTCTATGTCTGATAAATTGATTTTATACCATTATACTGACATCTGCCTGTATATGATAAACATAAAATTACTCTCCATGATGAATCAGTTCATCACAAAGTGCTTCCACATTCCGATTTATGTACTTTTATAGAATTTATTAAATGCAAATTACCTTTTCTTAAACCTTAGCGCACCTTTTAATATTATGATATATATATGTGTGTGTGTGTGTGTGTGTGTGTGTGTGTGTCTATATATATATATATATATATATATATAACCGCAAATTATAAAAAGTTGGGACTTTATATATATATAGCTTTTTATAAATCATGAGCTAAGTGTGATCTCTTGAAATGTCACTTACAATAATATTTACTGTCATCATGGCAAAGATCAAATAAATCAGTTATTAGAAATAAGTTATTAAAACTATTATGTTTAGGAATGTGTTGAAAAAAAATTCCAAAAGGAAGTGTATAGTGTCCAGTAGCTCCATTGACTTCTCTGGCTCCATCGACCATCTCACAGTGGAAATGTGCACTATGGTCAGATGAATGAGCATTTTAGGTATTTTTGGGGAAGGAATGAACCAAAATTACAATATTGAATGTGTTTATTTTGAAAATAAATAAACATCATGGTGCACATTACATAATGTTTGTTGTTTTGTATGCAATACAATTAAAGACAAAGTTAACGTATGGTTATTTCTGGTTCTTAAATTTGACTGGCGTTTTCCAACCATACTCTAGGATTTTTACTCTAGGTAAAGTGCTAACATTACTCAACCCTGCATCATTCCTCACAGTGAGTATCATGGTGGAGATCTTTTTTTTTCTTCTTTTTTTTTTTGGCAAAAATGTATGTGTAGCTTCTACAATCACGGTTTAATTATAAGGAATTGAAAATGTGTTTTAGCAATTTCTGAGAATCTCAGTATAATTTTCAAAGCACACTTTCTCTATCATTTTAAGTATTTTTTAACATGAAGTATTATTTGTTTTGAGTAGATCTATAATGGCGATATTCAGGGTTAATCATCTGTTATTCGCTCCTGAGCAAATAGAATAAACTGAGGGGAATGATCAGTTTCATAACTTAATATAAATTCAATGCTATCAAAACACTGCCATTTTCATTTTCTTTTGTAAGACATTGCAACGTTCTACATAATGGAATGACTTTTTCCTAACACTAAAATATTTTATGAAGTGAGTTAATTTGTAATCATGCCAATAAAATGGTAGAAATGGCACTTTTGTTCATGTGATACTTAGATCACATAAATATAAAAACAACAACTCTTACAAGGCATTTTTACCTCCACATCTTGAATTATAGGCTCATTCTAACAGGCTTCATCCTGCAGTAAATATTTGTGGCACTCAAGAAATGTGTGATGCTCTAGCACTGCTAAAAACCAAAATTATGACATTACAGCAGGCGATAAATATCAAACAGTCCTTTAGATTTCTGCATCCTAAGCTGTCTAATGTGCCTCGAATTGAATACTGTACCACACACACTTTCATGATTTTTCTTATTTTACAATATTATTTATCCCTCTGGCTGGATTGAACATATGTTTGAGATGCCTGTTCTAATGCTACAGATTGAGGCATACTTAATTTTCCTCATTGCGCTCAGTTATTCATACACTGCTTTTAAAATATAACATCGGCCACACATGCACTCTTCTGCCCCAACACACTCATTATACTGTGTACTCATATAGAGTGCTCAGCATAAATGAGTACACCCTATTTTGAAAATTAATATTTTTACTCAGTGAATATAGGTTCTATATTTTGGTGCATTTGAACATAACTGATTTATTAAACAGATATATTTATTAAAATAATATTTTATTCACTGAACATCTTTAGAAACAGAAAGACTATACATTTAAATTCATGCGAAATATTGGAAAAAAATTTAATAAAAAACTGCAAAATTTGAAAAAAAAAAAATTTTCTCTCAATTTTTGCTATTTATATTAACATATAAATTTGAGCTACTCATTTTTGGACCGTTATCGTAAGTTATTTTGTTAGATTAGCTTCAGATTTGGCTTTTGTAGTGATTCATCTAATGTATATGCACAAATATAATATTTTATTGCATCTTATAGAAAATAGAAATTTAAATGAAAGATTTGGGAGGAGTTCACTCATATATGCTGAGCACTGTATACTACAGCACAAGTGTCAAACTGGATGTTCCTGAAGGGCCGCAGCTCTGCACAGTTTAGTTCCAACCCTAATTAAATACACCTGATCAAACTAATTGAGTTCCTCAGGCTTGTTTGAAACCTGTAAAGCTGGGGTCACACTAGAGTTTGTGTGTGTGAAAATCTTTCTTGCGGCGCTGCGAAAAGGGGTGGGATTAAACAAGCTTATTAGACATTTAAAAAAGCAAACGATTGCTCCATGTTTTACATTTCTGTCCAGAGAGGTAATGTTTTGATCCTCGAATGGTCTCACGCAGTGAAGTGATGAGATTTCGCAGGTCAGAGTTCACCAAGCTTGAACTTTGCACCGCAGCAACCTGCAAAACTTAACACATGACCCTGCGTTTCCGGTCTGATGCATTCGCGTGCGTATGGATGGAAGTCTATGGGAGGAAAAGCCCAGTGTGACCGCAGCTTAAGATTTTTAAAGCAGGGTTGGAACTAAACTGTGCAGGGCTGCGAGTTTGACAGCTCTGTACTACAGTATTCTCATTTACTGTGATCTACACTATTGTGGGGTGTAACATTTTTACACCTAAAGTTTTTGAAAAATTTCACAAAAGTTGTGAAATATCTGTTATATTCTTAAAGATTTAAGATAAAATTTAAGCAAAATTCTTAATGGATGCAATAGTTATTCAAAATCAACGATGCAAAAAATGAAAAATAAAAATAGTTTGCTCAAATAACAACAACAATAATACTAATAAGCCTGTGCTTACAATGTTTAATATTTATGTTGAACTTTTTTTTCTTTTTTTTCACTGAATTTATTTACCATTTATTTAACGAAACTTAATCTCTTAAGTTGGTGCAAAGTATAAAAAATATTGATAATGCAACAATTAATAACAGAAATTTCTTTAACTAATACCATTATTTTTAACATTTTCTAATATATTAAATGTACCAAAAACATTAGGAACACGTGGATATTATATTTCCCTACAGATATAGGTATTTGAAAATCTTAAATATACTATAGTAGCGTAAGTACATTTTACATAAAATTACATGTGGGATTTTTCCAACTCCAATAACCACTTACTTGTTATTCAGATATTTTTTTATCCTAATATGTTTTTAAATTTTTGTGATTTTTCGAAGGCACTGGATTTTTAGAATGTGTTGTATGCACAGTTAGCATTGAAAATAAATACAGATCACAGTAATGTCAATTTTGACGCTCACAGGTTAATATCGGTGATTTGCAAGTACTCTCTCTATATATGTTATAAGTAAAAATTGCTTCACTGGAAACCTTTGGCAAATTTTAAATGTCAAGTATCTCATTAAGTAGGATTTTTACATTTTGAATTACAAGGACAGAAGGCATGTCCTTGTAAACCACAACAATAGTCTAAAACTACGTCATAGCCATGTCATCATACACATTTTTGTCCTTTTAAACCACCAAAACCATTACACACACAAGCAAATGCACACACATGATTTTATTGGTAGTTTATGACGAGTCTTCATGGGTGTAATGTATTTTAAATAGTAAATATCTATTAATTTCAATTCATTATTATTTCCATAGCACTTTTACAATGTAGATTGCGTCAACGTAACTTAACATCAAAGTTCTAGTAAATTGAAACTGTTTCAGTCCAGTTTTCATAGTTAGGTTCAGTTTAGTGTTACATTTTTACTGCTGAAAGTCCAAACACTAAAGAGCAAGTCCATCAATGCGCAGCTTCACAAGTTCCAGACGAAGCAAACCAGTGGTAAGGAACAAACTTCACCAATTGACAAAAGTGAAGAAAAAAAAACCTTGGGAGAAATCAGATTCAGATGGACAATAACGCTTATTGTATCGCCCTACCACACCCCACCTCTAAACCCAACCCTTACAGGAAACCTGTGATAAAATTTAAATGTCAAAATACCTCAAGTATGATTCAGTAAAACTAGGTCATATGATTAAACAAATGACTGTCCTTGTAAACCTCCAAAACCAGTACAAACACACACAAAGTGCATAAATATGGATGCGCATGGCACATACAGCTGAGACAGCCACCAAAAGCCAGCCTTCCTTTCTAGATGGCAGCTGAAGAAAAGGGCAGCAGTTCTGTTAATAATGATGAGTAAATACAGCGGCCTATCTTAAGACACACACTCACAGAA